GACATTTTAACGAATACGCGTTTTCGGTCGGGATTAACGTGGCGAACATTTTACACGTACAGTGCGAGCTCGATTGTGAGACTGTTGGTAACGGGTTAGAAAACTTTTGGACTCTTGAAACAATCGGGATAAACAATGATAACGTGACGGACAAATCTCATACAAAACACTTTTTAGATGAGAATATAACTTTTGAAAACGATAGATATTGTGTTGCCATGCCTTGGATAGAGCCAAACGTACGGGTTGATTCTAACTTTAACGGTGCCTTCAATAGGCTAAAGTCATTAACGCGCAAACTCAACGAACGCGGCAAACTTCGGGAATACGATTGTGCGATGCGTGAATACATGAACAATGATTGTGCCGAACTTTTACCGGAAGTGACAAATGACATTCGAATTTATTTTATGCCGCACCGGGCGGTATATCGGGATGACAAAGACACTTCAAAATTAAGGATCGTGTTTGACGCGTCGGCGCACGGCCCTGGTATGCCTTCGTTAAATGACGTACTTTTGCAAGGCGAAAATTTAGTGCCGTTTCTTTTACGAATTTTAATGAACTTTCGTGTCGGACGAGTTGCATTTACAGCCGATATCGAGAAAGCTTTCTTGCAAATCGCTATAGCAGAACGCGATCGTAATTCTCACAGTTTTTTGTGGTATAGCGTTCCTATTGATGACGTCAATAATCTTCCACGAATATCAAAATACCGAATGAAACGTGTAACGTTTGGGATTAAGTGCAGTCCCTTCTTGCTGGCGGTTACACTTAAGAAACTTTTACAATCGCAGCCGGAAAATCTAGCAGACACTTGCGAAATTTTGAGGTCTTCATTCTATGTGGATGACTTGGTAGTAGCAGTTGATAACGTAACTCAAGCCGAACGTATTTACTAAGAGTCCAAAGAAATTTTAGCTAAAGCTAATATGAATTTACGTAAGTGGAACAGCAATGACGTTTCGCTCAGAAAATTGATGAAACGCGAGGAAAACGTTAATGCCAAGAAAGTACTTGGAATTTTATGGTACCATAACGATGACGAGTTAGCAGTAGATATAACTTCAGTTTTATATGAAATCGATAATAAATCTATAACGAAACGTGGGGTGCTACAAATAGTATCGAAAATTTATGATCCACTTGGCTTTATGAGTCCCTTTTTGGTAAGAGCAAATAAGATATTGCTCCAAGAAATTTGGAAACTTAAGGTCGACTGGGATTCAACCACACCTGATAATATCACCAATGAATGGTTGAGATGGTGTTTTGAACTGAAATCTTTGAAACATTTTTCGTTTACCAGATGTGCACTCGAAGACAGAAACTCCGAAGTTTCACTTCACATTTTTGCGGACGCGAGCCCAAAGGCGTATGGAGCAGTGGCGTATCTCAGAGTAGTTAACGAAAACGAAGTCGAATGTAACTTTATCATGTCTAAGGGTAGAGTAGCTCCAATTGACAAAAAGGGAGATAAGAGCTTAACGTTACCAAAACTGGAACTCACCGCGGCAGTCTGTGCAACTCGACTTCAGAAATTTATACTTGAAAATATTGACGTTAAATTTCATTCCTGCACTTTGTGGACAGATTCGAAAATAACGATATATTGGATCATGGGCAAAGCTGACAGGTGGAAACCGTATGTTCGCAGTCGTGTAACTGAAATTAAGAAGAACTCAGTTGGAGTATGGCGCCATTGTCCAGGGGCAGAGAATCCAGCAGATTTACTAACGAGGGGTGTAACATCTAAAGGTCTTATGACATCGGAAGTTTGGAAACATGGACCTAATTGGCTGAAATTTAAACCAGAAGAATGGCCTGAAGAAGATATCGCGATAGGATCTGAAGCATCTGTTTTGCTAGTACAAGGAGAAGAAGTAATCCAGAATAACGAACCAATCTTCAAACTTGAGAGATTTAGTAGTTTGGAGAAAATCTTTCGCATTACCGCTTATGTTAAAAGATATTACCATAATCTAAGAAATAAAAAGAACAAAAGAACTGGAAGCTTGAAGGCTCAAGAGTTAAAGGAGGCTGAAAGATATTGGATAAAGGTAACTCAAGGACAGCATTTTTCAAGTGAAATAGCTGACCTAAGGCGAGGTAAAAAAATTGAACCCTCTTCTCGAGTTTTAACGCTAAGTCCCTTTCTTGATGAAGACGATATAATGAGATTAGGAGGCCGTTTACAGGAAAGCTCCTTACCGTACCAAACGAAATATCCTGTGGTGTTACCTAAAACGTCATTTCTAACGGATAAACTTATTTCGAACTCTCATGTTTCCACAATGCATGGTGGAGTAAACGTGACGATGGTACATATAAGAAAACGATTTTGGATTTTACAATGCAGGCAAAGAGTAAAATCTATACTGAGCAAATGCATAATTTGCAAGAGATTACGAGCAAAACCTGGCAATGAACCTTTTGCACCCTTACCAAGAAGTAGGGTGTCTTCAGCAGAACCATTTAAGGTAACGGGCCTAGATTTCGCTGGACCTCTATACATTATCAACGAATCGAGGCGGCAAAAGGCTTACATCATGCTGTTAACGTGTGCTGTGGTACGTGCCGTACATCTTGAAATAGTTCCTAATCTAACAGCAGAGAGCTGTATTAACGCATTTAGACGGTTCATTTCAAGAAGGGGAGTTCCGGATATCATTTATTCAGACAACGCGAAAACATTTAAGAGAACAGCTTTAGAATTGAAAGAATTATACAAAATAATTTGCACCGATAAATTTCAAAATTTTGTCACAGGACGTTGCATTGAATGGAGATTTATTGTGGAGCGCGCCGCGTGGTGGGGCGGATTTTGGGAACGAATGGTCAAAACTGTAAAAGATGCTCTAAAATTGTCACTTGGAAAGAAATCCCTTGATTGTGACGAACTACAAACCATCATTTCAGAAATTGAAGCTACGGTGAATATGAGACCGCTTACCTACTTGGATGATCAGCCCGAAAATTTAATGTTTTTGACACCAGCACATTTCCTTTTGGGTAGTAACGAATGTGGATTTCATATCAACAACAACCATCCGGATATAAAAAGAAACAAATTTGCAAAAATGGAATGGTAAAAAATCGTAACAAGTTAACGCAGAAATTTTGGAAGGTTTGGTCAAAATAACTATTTGCAACAATCACGACTGTTCCATAATCAACATCAAGTTCAGTCTAAGAAGATAGAAGTTGGAGATGTGGCTTTGCTACATGACGATAACTACCAAGACTACTTTGGAAGTTAGTCCGAATAATGAAGTTATTTCATGGACGTGATGGAAGAGTTAGGGCCTGCGAAGTGAAAACTGCCGACCAGACCGTTTTGAGACGGCCAATTCAATTACTATTTCCCTTGGAAATCACTGGGCCGGGAGGATGTAGAAAATCCGTGAATAATCAAGGGTACAAAAAAGAAGTAGCGGGAAAAATAGGAAGATCGAGAATTATTGATATTAGCGTAGTAACGTATTGTACCTACGTATTGTTTTGTGAATCGTTTAATTCATTGATAAATAAAGCACTATTAAATACCGTGTTTTACCAATTGTCGATGCTTTTTTTCAATTATAAAAGGTCTCTCATAAATTATAAATTTGTACGTCGACCCTAGGCCCAGTTTTTTGGAACCTAACATATTCCATCGACTTATGTAAAATTCACGATTTGGTGTTTGTCAACGCGAATATCGTATTGATTTCTGCACGCAGCACACGTCAAGGGGCATGTTATTAAACCTGGACGACACATTTTTCATCATTATTTTACACGTCAATACCGTGCTTTGATGAACCTTCGTGTTCACTACTTATATATGCTTCTCTTACAAAGATAAAACATTTTCCGCTAATACCTTCGGGAATGCGCTACTCGCTACCAGTAGGTTTCTCTCAGAACACGTCCTTCTTCACTTGTCGATGTATACAATTTGACAGTGCTGGCAAATACAAAAATTGTAAATATCTGTCTGTTTATACCAGTTGGCAATATAATCCGGCGCAATTTTTAAACAGAATAATGTTAATGAACCCCTGAAAACGAGCGGCGTAAATATTTTCTCGGTGGATGTAATTCATAACATGCCCAAGTTATTATTTCTGTTAGAACGATTCCGTTCAAACATAAATTCCTTTCAGGCAATAATACAAGGGCCTTTCTAAATTATCTATTCCGGGTAACGTGGGACGAAAGCTCTTGATGTGGAAAATAAATATTAAAATGACGTTGCCTTTGCGTATCATTTGAAGTTATAGATATGTACACTACTTTCCAGAACCTCTTAACTGGAAGTTAATATTTTATGATCGTAATGTTCCGAAAGTCTCTGTAATGGGGATAAATCAATCAATCGGCGGGCACCTAACTATTTCGGGTAAATACAAAATAAATCCCATTTATAGTGTTAACAACTACTAAGTTCCGCAGTATTGAGTAATCGAGGTAAATAACACCGCCTAACGAAAGGTCCATGATTAAGGGACCGTAAATTAACGTGCACGTCTTACGCTTTGTAACATCATATTGTTTTAAATGCAGCTTATCGCAATCTTTGTCCTTTTAATGTAATGCATATTTAATCGTAATGTCACATTCAATTGGTGGCGACACGTCAAATTACAGACCAAGGTACAAACAGACAAAGAAATTCATACAAAACTAACAATATTAAAAATACAAATAAGACAAGTGAAAGTCACAAGTAGGTATTCCTCTATAGAGTAAAAACATAGAGTAATAAACGTTGTTTACTCTATGGTAAAAATAATACGTTAAAAAATTATGAACGGCAGAACATGAAAAAATTGATGGAATGTAACTATTCTTCTAACGGTTTCTTTGTTTTAAATAGTTACTTGTACGATAATTGATATGGGCTGAGCCCGCTGAGCATGGCAGTTCTTCCAAGACCGTTTACCGCAAATTTTGCTTAAAATATAGTCGAATGCTCATTCGAATGAACTCAAGAAACAGCAGATTATTATATTCTTTGAGCATTAAATGGAGTTAAAGTTCTGGTGCTGAGCGGATGTTTATTTCGCTCCGTTATCAGTGCGAAACAGCCGACCTCAAAGCTATCTTTATAGCCAAACTGTGAGTACATCCAAATATTTTCATCTAACCGCGTATTTATATCTACCCGCGCACGTAACACACTAATGGATAAATATTGCTCTCGCAAGGGCAATTAAAGCGCAAATCAGATGTATTAACGCCACCATTAAGAGTCTTCTTTACCTAAGCGCAACTTTTTTACATTATAGTGTGTAGATGATTATAGCTGCAAGAGATAAGATGATATTCTTGCTTTGTCAACTCCTGTCTTGGTCCTTAGTTAGTTCCCGCCGAGACTAAGCAGCGGCGCCACTTGTTACACTCAAATTGTTGATTTAACGCCCGCCAAGATACAGACTTTATTTACAAAAATTATGATTTCATTTTTTGGGGTCATGTTTAGAAGTAACTTATCTAAAAAACTGTCGGTTTACTTTTTCCATAAATTGTCTTGATCGAGAGTAAAAAAATAAAACAGATTAGCGCAATAATCGGTGCGAAACATCTAATCTTTAAACAATCGGTATTAAGTTGCTATAAACTTTAAAAAAAAAATAGTCCGAACATTTTGTAGATAAAGGTCTAAATTTATAAAATAGTTCTTTAAAAAAATTGTTCTTGGAAAAACAAATAGTTTTTATGGCGGGCGCTCTTATGGAAATTTACATTGGATGCAGTGGGTACAGAAGACTCTTAAATGAGGTGCAAAAACGAGGCAGCCTCCTTTTAAACTAATCAGTGGGCAAATAAACTGGGAAGTTTTTCAAGATCAATTAGATGCAAATCTAACGAAGCCTAATAGTCTAAACAGTAACGAGGACGTAGATTCTACGGTATCAGAAATTATGAACTCAATAACTGAAGCAGTAAAATCATCCATCTTAACTATCACCAGACGCTCATGGACGGACCACAATCGTGCTCCAAATTATATAATCAGTATGGTTAAAGAGAAGAGCCAAGCAAGAAGACAGTGGCAACGAACACGAAACCCTAAAATCAAGCGAGAAGCGACAGCTAAACTATCTAACGCATCGTATTAAAAATGAACTGGACACATACAAAATCGAATCATACAAAAAATACATCGCAGACATCGGCCCGATAGATTCAGGGATGTGGAAAACCACTAAACGAATCCTAAAACAAAACGACGAACTGCCAACCCTTCCCTCTGGAACACAGATGCCGAAAAATCCGAAGCGTATGCTACTCACCTCGAAAAGGTATCACCATTAAATATCTGCAACCCCACGCAAGCACTTCATATAACTAACCACATCGAAAGAAATCTTCCCATCCCCGCAAACATTGAACCCACATCACCCAAAGAAATAGCCCACTGAAAGCAGCTTAACCAAACGAAAAGCACCTTTATATGACCTTATACCCAACATTGTACTTCAGCACTTAACCAAGAAGAGCCTAGCATATCTAGCCTCCCTGCTCAATGGATCTCCGAAAAGGCCACTTCCCCAGTAAATGGAAGCACGCACATATCCACATGTTCGCCATTGGCGTTCCACAAGGAAGCATCTTGGGGCCACTTCTCTTTAACATCTTTACATCAGACATACCACCAGTAACAGCATTTTAGATTTTAGATAATCACTAGATTGTCTATCTGCAATGGGGTCCAAGTAACTGTTGTCTTTCATTGAGGGAGAACTTGCAGAGTTGACAAAAAAATACTCGTTATTCCACCGCTTTCAAAAGTGTTGAATTATCTTTGGTAATTGATTAATAGATTAGTTGACGTTAGTGTTGAAATGGAATGTCTTGTTATGGAAATGCTATATGTTTAACATAATTTCCCTCTGAATTTCGATCTCAATTTTGGCAGTATCTAAGAAAACAATGTACGAATGATCATCTAAAATAGCATTTATTGTACTTTGGAACCGACGCGGTATTCCTGTGCGTAACTAAGTACTGGTGCATGCAATGGGGCGCAATGCCGTTTAAAGCATGGTTTACAGGGCGCAGAGGCAATTTTTATTTAAACGGGAAAGGCTTATTTCATTTCATTTCATTTTATTTATTGTGCTAAGTAATTACATAGTAATTTTTGCACTCGTCTTACAATTACTTGGGTACTTACAATGTGTGTGTATGTGTATATATAAACATAACATGAAACAAACAAACAACTATTAAAATATACATATAAATTAAAGCCATTAATGATCACTATGGAACAATAGAAAACACAAGAACACTAAGACTAAAGATGTGCAGTAAGAGTGAGGAATTCGTTCACAGTGTAGAAGCAATGATTGAATAGCAACGTTTTTAACTTCCGCTTAAATATAAATTTATTTTGAATAGTTTTCAGATCACTTGGAAGCTTATTAAAGAAATTTACACCGGCGTGATTTGGTGATTTAGTACAATAACTATTCTTCACTTTAAAATTTACAAAATCGGTTTTGTGTCTGGTGTTATAACTACGAATGTCACAATTCCTCAGAAGGTTGTGCTTATTTAAGTGAATGTGACATAGTAGTTTGAGGAGGTATATAGATGCCACGGTCAATATTTTTTTGCTTTTGAAGAATTCACGGCACGAAGTTCTCCCACTAAGACCAAAGATCAATCTTACTATCCTTTTTTGTAATACAAAACACAATTCGTACATACCTTTTGTTTTCGTCATTCATCCTATTGCTCATTTATTTAGTGCCTCCAATCAATCGTACTGAATATTAAAATGGTTATCGCTACATCTGCTTAATTGAATTGCCACCTTGAAATTTGATATTTTAAGTTATCAATATTCTAGAACTCTCCGCTTGATATAATGTAAAAAATTATCAGTCCTTATTGATTATATACTTGTATATAATCTATGGTTATACTTAATATTGAATAAAAAATTAAGAAGAAGCCTAACCTTATGGAAAAAAGAGTAACATACGCAGGGTTTGGGAAGTCGATCGCACCACGGTATCCGATACTTACTGAAAAATATCCCCACTTTTTAGAATGAAATAAGTAATTCGGTTGCACTTCTCTCACAACTATTCTACACGAGGAGCAAAAAAAATATAAAAACGCCCTATTATAAGCTAAGTAGATCTAAAAATAACAGTCTCAGAGTTGACTTATACATTATAGTTCTGATTGTATCAAACCTTACAATTTTTTTAAATTTAAAAGAGTCGTTAAGGCGCACTTATTAAGCCATTCTTTTTATAACGTAACTGAATATTTACATACACCTTTGAGAACTATTCAATAATTTTAATTATATTTCCGATGGTTGCATGGATTGCGCAATCTGTGAATTTTTGCTTAAATATTCGGCTCGTGAGACCATATAATACAACAATAACTAAAAAATGTCCGTTATGTGCGATTTGTACTTGATTTTTGTGTTACTTCGTACGTGCTGATTTTACGAAGAAAATCGCCTTCATACAAAACGATTCGTCGCAACATACACCATTTACCACTCATCGTGCGCGGGGCTAACAATAATGTATACTTTAAAGACGTTTCTGACGTATTAAACGCCGTGTAAAAAATGGTCCCCCACAATTTTATTATATGAGTACACGTCAAAATTATGAAACGGTCGTTTTAAAACCTGCATTTCAAGCAACCGTCAAATAAAGAGGTGTAATTTTTAAAAGTGGCCTCCATTCGAGGCGGATGCTTTGAATGTCAAAAATGAAAGAGCTAAAACTGTAATTTTCATATATGAAAAATTAAAGGCAAGTTTTTTTTGCCTAATTAATAATTTTATTTGGTGTTTAAACCCTTTTCCTCAATTTATCTCACTTGTGGTTATGAAAACAGGGCACAGTGTGTAATAATGCCTGAAATGACAAAATTATGCATTTTTTTTTTAAATTTTATGGTTATTACCCTTCCTAAACATCACGCAGAGCACATTAATTCTGCGTAATTCTTCTATGAGTAAAAAGAGAAGGGCTAGTGTGAAACCTCAATATTAAAAATGATCCTATAGCACGACGACCATTTGTGGGAGATACCCTTAACAACGGGGCAATCAGTTTAGAAGCATCTCACAACTAATATCCTTTAATGGGATAGTAATGGCGCAGTTTGTTTTTTAAGATAGTGGATATCATATACACCGTGTAATTAAAAGAATCTCCGTTGTCTGTTATCTACGCTCACTTGCGTAAATTTATCACTCGTTACAGTTGTCAGCGATGCACTGTGAAGAACGTTGCAGCTTGGATCTATACATATTAACTACCAATTGAGAATCCATTTCTCATCATTTTCTCAATGTACATTATGTTTTTAGAGCGAACACTGCTCTGCAGAGGAACAATATTTTGTTAAGAAATAGATTAGAATATACTTATGCCATACATACCTCCCGTTACAGCCAAACTATGTTCATTTTTAAACGTTTTCCAGTTGTATGGCACTTCATTTTAAATGCATTATTATTATTACATTCATTAACCGAGTGAATTATCTTAGACAGAGTATATTTTTCTGCTAATATGTAAACAGTTTCTCTTAATAAATACGATTTGTGAGCTATGGTAGGCAACAACTTTCGTGTCGGGTGTGGTATAGGTGGTCAAGTGTATGATATCTGTTCAGTTCATATGTGCATTGTTATTATTATTGTTATATTTATTACGCCCATCCAGATACAGATTAAAACCATAACCCCGAAATCGATCGCTAAAAGGAAAAAATAAAATTCTAATTCGTGCAATTTTGTACTTCTTTTGTACTTTTCTTTTGTGTTCTACCTCATTCAGTCCACGGACGACGAAATTGAGACATACATCAAGTTCATAAAACCATAACCTTACAAACAAATGAACATTAAGTCAGTGGCGTAACTAGGTAGGTGCCAAATGTGCCGCGGCACCGCGCTCTGAAGGCGGGAGGGCGCGTCGGAGGCGCTGAAGCACCGAGGGCACTATGTCGAGATGGGCAATACGTGGTGAACCGGATAGGCCAGTCATAAAAGACAAGAACGGCAGTTAAATTCTAATACTTGGCTAAAGTCGAATACAGGGTGCACTGAAATATAATTAAAACTA